ACTTCTCAAATCCGCGAGTTATGAACTCGCCCAGAAAAAAATTTGGCGGGCCTGTATGTGGGTACCACGCTTTCTCGGAGGCTGTAATTGACCCCACTAATACCCGGTTGCGCGGGGAACATTAGCTCAAGATTTCAGCCTTCTAGCTTGTAAGGTCCCCGAATTATGAACATACCTGAAAAAATTTTGGCGGGCCCGTACGTGGGTACCACGCTCACCCGGAGGACAGTTTTGAGTGCGTTAACACCCATTTGGACGGGGAACGCACCCGCAAGGTTTCACTGCTCTAGTTTCTCAAATCCGCGAGATGTGAACTCGCCCAAAAGAAAATTTGGCGGGCCTGTACGTGGGTACCACGCTTGCTCGGAGGCTGGATTTGACCCCACTATTACCCGGTTGCGCGTGGAACATTAGCTCAAGATTTCAGTCCTCTAGCTTCCAAGGTTCCTGAGTTATGAACATACCTGAAAAAAATTTGGCGGGCCCGTACGCCTGTACCACGCTCACCCGGAGGACAGATTTGAGTGCGTTAACACCCATTTGGACGGGGGACGCACCCGCAAGGTTCCACTGCTCTAGCTTCTCAAATCCGCGAGATATGAACTCGCCCAAAAAAAAATTTGGCGAGCCCGTACGCGGGTACCACGCTCACGCGGGGGATGGGTTTGAGTGCATTAACACCGAGTTGGACGGGGAACGCACCCGCAAGGTTTCAGTGCTCTAGCTTCTCAAATCCGCCAGATATGAACTCGCCCAGAAAAAAATTTGGCGGGCCTGTACGTGGGTACCACGCTTGCTCGGAGGCTGGATTTGGCCCCACTATTGCCGGTTGCGCGGGGAACATTACCCCAAGATTTCAGCCTTCTAGCTTCTTAAATCCGCGAGTTATGAACTCGTCCAGAAAAAAATTTGGCGGGCCTGTACGTGGGTACCACGCTTTCTCGGAGGCTGAATTTGACACTACTAATACCCGGTTGCGCGGGGAACATCAGCTCAAGATTTCAGCCTTCTAGCTTGTAAGGTCCCCGAATTATGAACATACCTGAAAAAATTTTGGCGGGCCCGTACGTGGGTACCACGCTCACCCGGAGGACAGTTTTGAGTGCGTTAACACCCATTTGGACGGGGAACGCACCCGCAAGGTTTCACTGCTCTAGTTTCTCAAATCCGCGAGATATGAACTGCCCAAAGAATATTTGGCGGGCCTGTACGTGGGTACCACGCTTTCTCGGAGGCTGAATTTGACACCACTAATACCCGGTTGCGCGGGGAACATCAGCTCAAGATTTCAGCCCTCTAGCTTCTAAGGTTCCTGAGTTATGAACATACCTGAAAAAAATTTGGCGAGTCCGTACGCGGGTACCACGCTCACCCGGAGGACAGTTTTGAGTGCATTAACACCCAGTTGGACGGGGAACGCACCCGCAAGGTTTCAGTGCTCTAGCTTCTCAAATCCGCGAGTTATGAACTTACCCAAAAAAAATTTGGCGAGCCCTTGCGCGGGTACCACGCTTATCCGGAAGACAGTTTTGAGTGCGTTAACTCCCAGTTGGACGGGAAACGCACCCGCAAGATTTCAGTGCTCTAGCTTCTCAAATCCGGGACTTATGAACTCGCCCAAAAAAAAATTAGGCGAGCCCGTACGCAGGTACCACGCTCACGCGGGGGATGGGTTTGACCCCACTAATACCCGGTTGCGCGGGGAACATTAGCTCAAGATTTCAGCCTTCTAGCTTCTAAGGTCCCCGAGTTATGAACATACCTGAAAAAATTTTGATGGGCCCGTACGCGGGTACCACGCTCACCCGGAAGACAGTTTTGAGTACAGTAACACGCAGTCGGACGGGGAACGCACCAGCAAGATTTCAGTGCTCTAGTTTCTCAAATCCGC